ATTGGTAATTCTGAGGTTCAGGCCGTGCGCGACCTCTTGGTACCGCCCGGGCTGACCCCGTACATTGCTTCGACACCCGCCTCCACGTCTACACTGGCACCAGCCACGGCTGCGAGCTCCCCAACCGTGTCCTTCACCAAGGGTGAGCTCCCCAAGGCGTTGGCGGCCACCAAGGGTGTCACCGACCCCTATGGTTGGTCTGGTGAGCTTCTTGCCTCCATCTACCGCATCAAGGAGCACTTCAGTCAAGTCTTGGGCCCACGCCAGGGTTCCACCAGCGACCCGACTGCTCCTTCTGATGGAGACGCGCCTCAGGGCCCCACCACCGCCACTGGAGGTCCTCAGGTTGCCTTGAACAAGATCTTTCACCACATTGCCAACAACACCGTGCCCGAGTCGATTCGACATGCCCTTTGCTCCATCAACTACACTATCCTGGAGAAGGCCAATGGCAAGTTTCGACCCGTGGGCACGGATTCCATCTTCAACAAGGTTGTCAACCGCGCTCTGCTCGAGGCCCACTTGCTACAGGCCAGTCCAGAGCTGGCCGTCGGAGTCAAGGACGGCATTTCAGCAGCGGTTGGCATGGCCTTTGGTGAGCTTCAAGCCTGTGAGTCTACCCTGGGCTGGACCATGCTCTCCCTCGATTTCAAGAGTGCCTTCAACTACACCGACCGAGCACGGCTGCACGAGATTGTGGCCGACAAGGTCCCTGGCCTCTTGCGCGCCTTTGAACGACACTATGCTCGACCCACTACCCACTGCATTGTCGACAAGTTCTTCAAGGTGATTGACATTGATGTTGGCCAAGGCATTGTGCAGGGCAACGAGCTATCGCCCTTCTTCTTTGCCCTGTACTCCTGTGAGGTCCTGGGTCTCCTCGACGCCACCACTGACTATCGCTGCAAGGTCATCAAGTACCTCGACGACATTGTACTGATGGGTCCCGCGGAGGACGTGGCGGCCGACGTGGAGATTGTCAAGGCTCGTGCAGAGTCTGCTGGCCTTCATCTGCAACCCAGTAAGAGCCGCTTCTACATGCCTCGCCACCATCCCGCTTCCATCACTGCTATCAAGTCTGTATTGCCAGATGCCGTGCGCGAGACGGCCAACACGGGCATGACGGTCTTGGGAACGCCGATTGGCCGTCGCGAGTGGATGAAGAAGCAGCTGAACGACAAGGCAAAGCACATTGCTGGCAAGCTCAATGACATGCTGACGACTGGTGTCTCGCTTCAGGCCCTCCTCACGGCCATGCAGTACGTGCCTAGCCTCATCAACCACCTCTACACGCTGCCCCCAAGTCTCACGTCGGGCTTGTCCGAGCTCTTGAACCGTGCTTGCAAGGACACCTTTGTCAAAGCCTTTTTTGCCAAGGTAAACCTGTCTGCACCAGCTGGAGCTGAAGGTCATGACGTTACGCTGGAACAGCTCCTGGAGGCTCGCCTCTTCACGCGGGCCAACACCGGGGGCTTTGGCCTGCACGACTTGGTTGAGCGCGGTCCGGTGGCTTATGTCTGCAACATGGCCAAGCTGGCCACTCGCTACCCTCGGGTCTACGATCGACTTTTGGAGGATGCATCGAGGGCTGCCGACTTTGTGGCCCACGTGCAGCGAGCTGGCTTCCAGATGGCCACGGTCAAGGACGCGGCGACTCAGCGACCAGCTGAGATCATTGCCCTCCGCTCCAAGGCGGCACTGGACGACCTGATGGCCAAGTGCGCGCTGGACCTGCAGCAGGCATATCTGGCCTCACGCGAGTGGGGCGTCAGCACTGTCTTGACCATGCGGGGTCGGGACAAGTTGCGTCGCTTGAGCGACACGACCTTTGCCATTGCGGTCGTGTCCATGATGGGTTTTGGCCTCCACGAACTCATCAACGTCAAGCCGACGGACAAGTGCCCGCTCTGCAGAAGTAAGACACCTCAGCCGCGGCTGACCCGCGAGCACCTGTTGACCTGCCGTCCCATCAAGCGTCACAACGCCCTTCGCGACGAGATGGGCCGCCTGCTCAGGTACGCCACCCTCTCCCATGTCTGGGTGGAAAAGTCTGGCTACAACGCCAACGGCCAGAGCTGCCGCATCGACCTGCACTGCCGCAACCCCTTTCCCGGCGGTGCCTTGGGCCCAGCTCTGCCCGACCTGGGCATTGACGTGACTGTGCGCACAGCCCAACCCCCGACCACCTCGCAAGCCTGCATCAAGGTGGGCGCTGCCCTTCGCCGAGCCGAAAAGGAGAAGCGCGACTACTACACCGGTTTCAACCATGGAAAAACTCTGATCGTCCCTGCGGCGATGACGACAACCGGTGGGTTCGCCTCCTCCTTTGTGGATCTGCTTGGTCAGCTTGCCCGCTGCGCCGAGGCCCGTGGTGTGTACCAGCCGGGGCTGGATGAGGCCTTTGTTCCTCGGTGGAAGGGTCGCTTTGCGGCTCTGGTCCATCAGATGAACGCTGACCACATCCAGCGCCACTTTGGCGGTGTCTGCCTGCGCTCGTCGTAGGTAGGCACCGTCTCGGGGGTCCCTCTGCGGGGATCCCTGTGTGCACCTGTCGCTCCCTAGGTGGTTTTCGTTGTGGTCTTTTGATGGCTTGACTTGTATTTTTTGTTTAATTTTGCTTCAATTTTTGCTGTATTTGTTTTTGTAAGGTCCTTTGTATGATGTCTTTTCCTTCTGTGGTCGGTTGTTTTCTCACTCCGACGTTGTGTCTTGTTGTATGTGAGCGTGCCGTGGTGTTCTTTGTGTTCGTGCTGTGATGGCTTATTTTTGTGATGTGTGACTGCCCTTTTGGGTGTCTTGTGTTTGAAATGGCCGTATCTCTGGTTATACTTGGTCGTTTTGTACGATTTTTGTTTCTATGTGCAGGATTCTTCGCGCTTGTACTTCTTGGCATGATAAAAGCCAGTGAATGTAACTTGTTCTCTTGTGTTGTTTTGCGTGACGTAGTGATTTTGATGTCGGGGTTGCACAGCTTTGCTTTCAGCTCTGAGGTTCAAACACCTAATTTAAATTTAATACAATATGACACAATGTCGGGTTGACAAAACAACCGACCACAGCACAAAAAGACATCACACGAAAGACTTCACAAAAATGGAAGCCAGGCTGTATAATCCGACATCATAGCATGCAAACCAACGCTAGCTAAGCTACTTTCAGGGGTTGTATGGCCAAGAAACACGGGCGCAGAAAAAAGAATCTCGAAAAACGACCTAGCTAAACCAGAGATATGGTCATTTCAACGACATGACATCTAAACAGCAGTCAAACAACACAAGTACAAACAATCGCAGCACGGGCACGAAGGACACCACGGCACCCCGACATACAACAAGACACAGCAACAGATTGAAAGTTCAATCAAAAACATATCACACACGAAAACTGCACAAAAATACAACGAAAATGCAACAAAATACGCCATAAAAACACGACGAGAGCCACCTAGGGAGCAACAGGTGGACACGGGGATCCCCACGGAGGGACCCCCAAGACGGTGCCTACCTACGGCAAGCGCAAGCAGACACCGCCAAAGTGGCGCTGGATGTGGTCAGCGTTCATCTGATGGACCAGAGCCGCAAAGGAATCCTTCCAACAAGGAACAAAGGGCGGGGCTTGAAGGCTGTCGCAAACCATCTCACACGACATTGTGAACGATCGGAATACTGACACTGTATTTCCATTGACCTTAAGAAACCATCAAATCTCTCGCTCCGTCACGACCAGAAATGTTTGCTGGTCTGATGATGTTATCAACACCTACGCGCTTCTTCGCGACTCAAACTGGCCTCCACATGTCGGAAAGCCTCTCTGCTTTCATGTTGAAACCAATAATTTTTTCACTTGCCACGAAATGTTTTGGCATGTCAAAGGAATGAAGTTTGGGCAGCTCGCGTGGGCTGGGGCTAAACTGCATCGTATCACCGCTCTTACCGCTGATCGGGCAGCAATGGAGGCCAGACCCACATGGATCAGAGTTCAAAAACAAAAGAGTTCAAAAAACAAAAAAAAGTCTGCAGTGGTGGCTCCAGCACGTCTGGAGACCGTTTTGGGTTGCGAGGAAGCGCGTAGGTTTGAAGCGTGTTGAGATCTTTGAGAGACGTCCGTCGGGACGCAGCGAAAGCTTTGATGGTGTCTTGCGATGAATTGAACCCGCTGCGGTCGGCAAGCATTCACAGTGACCAGACCAAGTGCACCGTTAGAATCGCTGTAGAGCCGCTCAATCCCAAGGATAGGGAAAGTGCAACCCGTGCCCAACCGCAGGTGTCACAAGAAAGAGAAACAACAGGAGTGATAAGCGTAGCGCCCCAAGGCATGTGCCAGGAATCGTGGGGTAAGTGTGTGTGTGTGTGTGTGTGTGTGTGTGTGTGTATGTGAGGTCGCAGCAGATAAGGGGGTTTCAGTGGGAAAGACCCATAGTGACCGACACTGAGTGTGCTCAAATGCGTGGAAGTACGGATTTGACGCTAACAGCGGAGGGCGTTGTTGGAGTTATAGAAAGGAACTGTTGTCGTGAAGCAGCAGATCAAGCAACGACATCAGTCGTAACGACAAGCGGTGGCACACCATTGTGCACCAGCATCCTCCCATGTCCAAAGGTCATGCTCGGTGTCAAAAGCAAACTTCTGGTTATCATGGGGGCTACTGCAATCATACAACTCCACGTATCGACCATAGCAAACCTGCAACAGAATGGGAAAAGAAGATTAAAATAATGAGACGGGCAACATCATCGGACGGCAACGATGATTAAGAAAGCGAGTTTGTGCACGTGTTAGAGGTCAACACCAATTGTCAAGGGTAGACCATGTTGTCACCATGGCACTTACTTCATTGCCGCAGTACGTGACGTCAACGCACTCGCCCGAGGCTGCGCGCAGACTATGACCGTCGAACGTGAATTGCTAACAAGAAATTTTCATCGTGGAATTAGTAAAAGCCACCTATTTTGCAGAAGAAGCATGGCTATGATATCGATATCGGGTGTACCTGAGTTGGGTCAGAGGCGTTGCAATTGACAACGCCAAGCTGCGGCTTGTTATCGCTACTGACAATGCCAACTTGCCCCAGGCAAAGATGGCTTTGGTGAGTCATTTGTACTGGCCCGGTACCCTGGGGGAAGGACCAGTGCTGAAACGCTGCAGCGCTTTCATCACACTGCGAAAATGCCAAACTCGTGTTGCTGGACACTCCACTGCAGGGCACAGGATCAAAAGGTCTTGCTGGATCCCAGCGATCACGCCATGGAATCGTGATCGAAGATTCGCCGATGACCATTGGAAGCCAAATGTACGATGCATCGATCAGTCCGTTGGGCCCCCCGTATATCCAATTATCTGCCAGATACACAAAGTACTGTGTCCCGTTCTCATCGTAACTTGGCACGACATATGTCGGCTGTGTATCGAAGCTGGTGCTATCGTTTGTCGGGTTGCCCATGTCCTTAGGGAAAGGGTGGAAAAAGAAGAAGAAAAAAAAAACACATTAGAGGGTTCAAAGTGAAGCTTTGAAATGGCCATCAGCAGTCATGGGTTGAGAATGTGAAGCCTCACCTGCCAGTTGGGATAGTCAAGAGTCTTGTTGGCTGCACGGAACAGCATCAAAGGATTGGGATTCCAGCCCGTCAAGTGCGAGGAAATTATGTAAAACGTTCCGTTGTTCATCCTGAAGAAAGCCATGCCTACCATGCGACACCGGCACAAAGGATCATGACTGGTTTAAAAAACAAAAGAACAAAACACAAATATACCAAGACTACAACACAAAATTGTTGAGTGCAAACGCTTGAAATGAGCGCGCAAGGCCAGCGCTTGACACCTTCAAAAGACGCATGGGTGCTAATAATGCCTGTTGTGTTGAGGTAGTCATCAGTGAGCCGAGAGATGCCGACATAGCTGTTGTCACAGCTGCGAACAAAGTATGCCTGCATTCCGAGAACAAGAAACTGTTAGATGAGCATCAATCGGCCTACTACCCGTCCTCCCTGCCTTTTGGCGTGCTCAGCGGCTACGATTCAATCCCACCTGATGATCGAGGGGATCCATCCACAAGCTCATGTCAAGACTAGGAATGTCATCCGGCTGCAGAGCGTATAAAAACTTTTGCAAACAGGGTGTTGGATGAGACCGCCGCCATCACTTGCGGAGTCCGGAGGGGCGGTCGAGGCCCAACAAAGGTGCCACAATGCAGCTTCTTGCAAATGAGGCTGACCTCGAAAGGACCTTCTGGGTTTGTCGCAGTACAGACAGCCGCGTGTCGAAATTGATAATTGCTGTCATCTAGATGAAACCACATGACATATTTGCTGGTCTTGTTGTTGAAGATCACCTACGAGCCAACACCGTGTGCAGGCAAGAGAGAGCACGGCAGAGGGGAGGGGGGGTTATGGGCGTGTAGCATGCTGTCTGTGAAGGCCGAATCGTTTCATCTTGGCTAGAAGACTTTGTGCTGCCAGCACTTGGGAGGGTGCAAGCTGATTCGAGGACCACATACCTTTGGTCGTTCAATGACAAAGGGACCACTGATGGAGGTTTTGACATCACTTTGCTGGATCACTTGACCGATAAAAGTCCAAGGACCAGAAAGCGAGCTGGCGCGATAAGCGTTTATTCCATGCGTGGAAAGGTCATCCGTCTTCTTGCTTTCACCGTACCAGTACCTGCCGCAACAGTCCAACAAGTATCGTTTTTCAAGAGTTGCACGGGTTCAGGGCTACTTTATCAGCATGGCGAGAACAAGCATATCCAAAAGGCGGTGGAAATGAGCCTCACGGTCGCCAATAGTCTTACCACATGCCATTTTGCGGGCTTTGGAGCATGCCAGCGCCGTGGGCTTCGATTCGATTTCCGTCCGTATCCAGCCAATGTGGTGCGCCGTTCCCTGTTTGCACAAAAAAAAATTGGCACCATGCCAAGCATGAGGCCTCAGAAAAAAGAAGCAAAACACGACGAACAACCAAGCAGACGCTTGCAGGATCGTTTGAAACGTACGGCCAGGTACAATGATGGAAGCCAAACCATTGGCGACCAGGAGCAAGCAAATCACGACAACCGCCGATCGAGCCGGCCAAACCCGCATCATCCTGCTCGCCGCTCCGGAAAATCAGTCACTGAATAATAAAATAAACAACAACAACAACAACAACAAAAGCAGTTGAAAAAAATACAAGACTTACATGTAGTTTTTTTTTCACCAATTTTGACATAAAGGGATGTGCTTCTTTTTTTGTCTTCTTCTGTCTCTCTTTCTGTCTCTCTGTCTCTCTGTGTCTCTCTGTCTCTCTGTCTCTCTGTCTCTCTGTCTCTCTCTCTCTGTCTCTCTGTCTCTCTGTCTCTCTGTCTCTCTGTCTCTCTCTCTCTCTCCCTCTCTCTCCCTCTCTCTGTATGTGCTGTCTCTCAACACACACACACACACTTTTTTCTTTTTTTCTTTGTTTTTTTCTTTTCTTCCCGCTCGTGCTCCTCACCAAGCTCAGTGCGGTCGGCGACCGCCGTCTTCTTGCTTGTGTGTCTTGGCAGCGCAGGGGCAAAGGGAATCAAGTGTTGTTGGGCTTTCTGGCCTGTGAGCTGAGCTGCCTTGTGTGTGCAGCCGGACGGGGCGTACCTGTGGCGCCTCATTGTGCGATTCTGCGCATAGCCCTTCTAAACCCACATTCCTTCCCGTTCGGGCCCATCGCCTGTCCATGTTTCCCACCCCGAACTGAAGGTCGTCCTCTTCGTCGACCGAGCCCAGCCCTTGTTTATCAGTGCCTCTCTCAGCCTGAACCCGATTTGTATTTCTTGGGCGTCGCTCAAACGAACTTGTCTTTGGTGGAGCCGCAGTGCAGTGCAGTTGCCATTCTTCTAGGGTGCGCTTCGTTCTCCTGACCTTTTCGTCTGGAACCCTTGTCAGTTGTGCGCCTCGATCATTTTGAGCCCCAGGGCCTTTGTTGTGCATCATGGCGGAAGCCGCAGCACCCTGGTATCATGGGCCGCTGAGCCGCACCGATGCAGAAAACAGTCTCTTGCGTATGCCCGAAGGGACTTTCTTGGTCCGCGACAGCACCTCGTCCCCCGGAGATTATGTCCTCTCATGCAGCGAGAATGGCAAGGTGACGCACTACAAGCTCTCGGCCGAAGAGGGCAAGATTCGTATCGATACACACCTCTTTGACAACCTGGATGCTGCCATCACCTTTTACATGGAGCACGAGTTGGAATACAGTTCGCTCAAACAGCCCCTGCAACGGCAATCATCATGGCGCGATGACGAGCTTGTCGCCACGGTCATGTTCTCTGCAGAAGGGCTGTACAAGTTTGTCGGCCGCAATGAAAACGATTTACCCTTTGACAAGGGGGAGCTTCTCAATGTCTTGCAGCTAACACAGGACAATTGGTGGATGGCCCAGAGTCAGAAAACGCTCAAGATTGGCTACGTTCCCGTCAATTATGTCCGGGCGCTAGAGCAGCCAGCTGCCCCGCCACCGCGCCCTGCTCCACGTCCTGCCGAGGAGGAGTCTTCCAGGCTTGAGCGAACCGAATCCCGTCGTACGCCGGCCAGCCACCATCGACCCAAGGAACCCATGCCGGCAGGTGCCGTCATGACACGAGCTCCGGCTCGACATCACCAAGAGGCAAAGGCACCCCCTGCACGGCCTCAGCCGACTGGGCCTTCTGCCGCGGGTCCGATAGCCGCTGCTGCTCCGCCTCCACGTCCCAAAACATCAAAGCCCACGACCGACTTTAGTGCGCTCAAGGCTCAACTGCAGGAGCCAATTGTTTCCAATCCCACGCCCACCTCGACGGCCCCAGAGCAGGCGGCTTTGCCCGCCGAAACCACGGCAGAAGTCTCAACACCAACGCAGCCGCTCGCATCTGCTCCGCCCACTTCTACGGCCTCGCATGAAGCGCCGGCAAGCTCTGCCGCACCCGCTACTCAGCACGGCGCAGGGTCAGAGGATCACGCTACCGCTCCCGACTCGGAGCCTCCCATCACTTTGGTCCGCGCCATCACCGCCATCATCCCCAACGCCTATGACAATGATGCCTTGGTCTTGGAGGTGTGTTTGGTTCTACTGCGGTCTACTCTGTTTATTTATTTCTATACTTTTCTTGGCGAGAGGGGCGTCTCAGCATGAAGGGCCCGCCAGCTCACTGCTTGTATTTGAATAGGAAAATGATTTGGTTCACGTGCTGGATGGCGGCGAAGGCGCACTGGAGCGGGGCCGCGTTCTCAGAACTGGACAGGTGAGTTTATCCAACTGCCGCATTGTGGTGTGGACCCTCCCCTCCCATCTGCACTCTGACTCGTTCTGCTCTGCTGCCGCTGACATTGCTCGGACCCGGCTTGGGCCGTTAACCATCGGGTCGGATCGGTGCACCACAGATCGGCTTGTATCCCTTTGCAAAGACTGAGGATATTGAGAGCCACAACTACGATGCCGAAGTGAAGGCAGCCGTCGCTGACTACCTGAAGCGGTTTCCAGATGCATGCTAGCAAACCATAGGTGGCTATTGGCGACGGTCGTGAGATACGTACATGGCCTTGTTGACGTCATTTTGAGGAACTTCTGATGTTACAAGGGGCATTTCTTTTTCTCGTTTCCTTTGACCCTCGCGTGACTCGCGTAATCGAAATCGGGTCGATAGTCCCGTCAACCAGCATCAAGTGTCGAATGTGATGAACAACGAATGATGTATCGGCCAACAGCTCTAGTCAGTAGGAGCATGGGTATGATCAATTTCATAATTGTGCTCGAGAGGACGCTACAGCGGCATGGTCACACAAGAGCAGCCACAGGCTGCAGGGCGTTATGACAGGATTGAGCCCATGGCTACTGTACGACGTCATGGGACAAGAGTGGAACATGGAAAGCGATTGAACGTTTTCATCGGTCCTTCCTGGTCTCTGCTTTGATCGCTCTCCGGAGGC